GTCAAATGAAGTATTTTAAGAATCTTACCCAGTAAATTTTTCTCACTCCATTGGCAGAAATTTTTGATTTAATTTGAGTCAAATTTTCAGACTAACAAGACAAATAATCTTACACATTCTGAAAACAAGATGATTATTCTTACACAACCAGTTCTTGTTTAGTAAATCAGTCTCAAAACAAGATCAAAAAGACTTTTTAACTGATATAAGATTTTAAAACTTGTTAAGATGGACAGTTTTTGCAGTGTATCAAAAATAAATTGACCCCACACTGGTGCTGACAGTAGGATGTGGTTTTAATTCATCATTTATCTGGACTAAGATGAAATATACTTGAGGATAGAACAATATGAAAACATCATAAAGTATAAAACACCAGCACTGATGGATAAATACTCACTCAAACAGCAGAAAGCCGACAGAAACGTGACGAGAACTGCTTTCATTTTGGTCCTTTTCCTTCCAGCCTCCTTCACATTAAAGCTTGTTACCACTAAAGCCACAAAATCAAAAACAGTGAAAAGTAATCCGAGAGGAGAGGTAAATAATGTCGTGTCCACCTGGGATTATTTGGGTTTACAGCTGGAGTCTGTGGTGTTTCCATTAAAGCATGGTTGTTGGTTTGTTGTTCAGCGTTTGGCCTCAGAAAGCTGCTGACCACGTCCAGATTTACTCTGAGAGGAGAGCCAGGAAGGTCCTCCAGCCGGGATGGAGCTCATTAGTTATTCAGGTTTGTTATTGTCAGTGAGTGCAGCGAGGTGCTTAATGACCTCTCTGGACCAATGGCAGCTCTGGAGTGATGGAGGGGCGGTCCCTCCGTCTATGAGAGGTGATTGAAAGTCACTTTGAACAGAGGTGGACCCCCTTCCCCAGAGCCTGATGGTCCAGCTGTGACCAAAGCAGCTCAGAGACCCAGGGAGGTTGATGTGGCGGCCATCTTGACCAGAGATAACTCCAGGATCTGTGAGTTTTCTGTGTTTTACTCTTTTAGGATAAGGTTATTTACTCCTCAGTCTGCCACGCCCACTCTCACCTGTTCCCACTCAGCATCCTGCTCAGGGGTCTCCTCCTCCTCGTTCCCCTGCTTCTACACTCAGTCCTTGTGTGTTTTAATCAGTGTTGTATGAAGTACCACAAAGTGATACTTGAGTAAAAGTACAAGTATCTTACCAAAAAATTACTTTGGTAAAAAAAGTTTCCTTTAGGAATATTACTTGAGTAAAAGTGTTAAAGTATCTGATATTTTTTGTACTTAAGTATTAAAAGTAAAAGTATTGATTTTGAACTGAGCAATTAGTCATTTATGCATTTTTTGGGTTCGTCACCTCCTAATAAATGTTATTACAGAAAAACTATGTCGTATTAAAATGTTTAATTAATGTTAAATTTAGGATACACTAGTCCAGCTGTTTCAGTTTATATTCATATATCAAGGCTGCACAAAACTTTTCCCCAAAATGAAAATCTGTCTGAGGGCTGCGACCAAATGTAATAATATAATTCATGAAATACAAATACTTCTTAAGTACAGTCCTTTTATTTGAATGATTCTGTCCTGCTGGAGTGTGACAGGATTTGTTTGTGTACAAACTAATACACTATCAGAGTTTTATATATTTATACTTCTCATTCAACCACAGTTAAATTCACTCTATCTAGGAGGCACAGTTTATATGGATAATGTTTATTTTTTACAACAAGCTGGAAGAAAAACAAGCAAAAATGAAATAAAAGTAACAACTTTCTACTTCTTGTCTTTTTTAAAAAATGTATGGAGTAGAAAGTACAAGTAATTGTGTGAAAATGTAAGAAGTAGAAGTAAAAAGTAGGCTGAAAAATAATTAAGTAAAGTACAGATAGCCAAAAATTCTACTTAAGTACAGCAACAAAGTATTTGTACTTAGTTACTTTACAACTCTGGTTTTAATGCCACACTCCAGCCCTCCTCGAGGTAAACCTCATGACTGACTGTAGATTATTCTGCTTTGTCAGCATTTTTGTTTTTGTGAAAAATAAAGTACTTCAGGTGTTTTCTTCATGCTGCTTGTGGAAGTCCTGCTGTCATCTCAAGCTTTTTAACAAACTGTTGGATTTATTTAACCAAGTTCTGTCAGCGATTTCCACTCAGCTGAGTGGAGAAAGTGTAAATCAACTTTCACATTTATTAAAAAAGTGAATGTTTTTAGTAGATTATTTTCTGGCTTTTTACCCTCTTTTCATTCAGTATCTGATTTACTTTTTTGTAATGTCTGTTTTCTTGCTGTTAGGAATGAAATAAAATGAATACATAAAAAGTTGCTTTACACACAACTCAATTGAGTGAAAATTGTTGACAGTTACTTAAGTAAATCCAACAAATTATTTTTTGAGTGTGTTATTGCTTTTTGGCAGAGATGTATAAAGTACTTGGGTAAAAACCTTAAAAGAAAGTGACTTTGGTAAAAATGAATTTCACTGATAACAAAAACTTGGATTCATAAAACTTTTCACAACAATCAGGAAAGGATAAGTACTTTTAAACACACTAAGAAAGTGTTGAATTACTTACTTTTAAAGTTTAATTACTTAACCAGTCACATCAACTGGTTCCTGAGGAAACATAAAGCAGTTCACACATTTTCTTTAAAACATAATTGGTTAGTTTTAGTGGAACCTATTGACATAGTTAAATACACTAAACACCTCATTTTTTTAGAGTTCAGAAACAACTCATTTCAAGAGTTTCAGACATATTTTAAATTTGCATAGTGTAATTTATGGAGTGCCATTTAATTTAAATTAAATAAATTAATAAATACAATCATTATAAAGTATTAATAAATATTAAATTAATCAACAAATTTTCCCAAGAAATGAAACAAAATCAATATACTAAAACAACTTCTTGCATGTTTTCAATTAATTAGTTTGTTGACTAATTGACTGATTGACTGATTTCAGGAAGTTTTTATTTAAAGTGATCCGATGAGCAACCTATATGTTAATGATACCACCCACTTTTAAATGTTGTTACCAGTGGTGGGCAGCACTAATCTAAAAATCAGTTCCACTAGCCCTAAAGCACTAACTCAAATATTTAGGTCCCCTAATTGTAAAGCACTAATGCACTGAAAATTTAGCTAAATTAATTCTAAAGCACTAAAATAACCCAATCAACGCATGAACATTTTTCAACAGACAACATGAGTCACATGTTGCCATGTTTGTAGATTTTATAGATTTATTTATTTAAAACAGGGACAATATAGAGTACACATAAAGAAGGAAAGATGCACTGTATCAGGTTATAACTAATTTCTGCCTGTAGTCCCTCATCCAGCCGACACAATAATATAAAGATATATAAAATAAAAGACAAAAAAGAACAGCTGGATGCATGTTGCTCTCTTAAGACTTATCATTGACATCCACAGCCATATTTGAGTTCATATATTGTCAATACGTCACTTAGTGAATAAGTAAAATAAAAATGGGATAACCAGCACTCCAACATTGAAAACATGGTACTTTGTGGAGTGCTGGTTATCCCATTTTTATGATTCTTCAGAACCAGGCACCCATTTACTCTTTTCCCTTTTTTGTAAGGAAATTTGAGTTGTGCGCACTATAATTTTTTCTTATTGAACTTAGTGAATTATACATAAAAAACATGTACATACTGTATATGTATATATTTATACATATACATATACATATAC